GGTTTCATAGAGCCGTTCGGTCATCCGTTGATTGCCGAGCTTCTGCTTCTTCGTCTATCTGATCTATAGAACGTTCTAGAAGCTATGCGTTTCACTCTGCATCAGCCATCTCCGAATAAGCATACTCCCTCGCTATCCGATATTTTCTCCCTTGCCCTTGCTCCAATTCCTGGCCAGGCTGGTAACACTGGTAGACATCTTGTATGTGTTCATTCCAATATTGGACGGACCAGAGAAGCCTACGTAAACATGTCGTCCGGTTTTTGTTCTAAAAGCCGAGAAACCGATTGGCTTTTGGAAATGAAAGGAGTCGGCGTTGTGGGACCGAACTTCTATGGGCCGGAAATCTTACTTTTTTAGCATCCTTCTCAACGTTGCTAATACTCAGGACCGCGCGACCAATACTGTTTATAAACACCATCGTAATCATTTCATCACATGGTCTATGTCAACAGGCCAAAATCGTGATAAATGTGGTTCATTTCCTCCAGTACAACAGTTCAGACTGTACATGTAGTGGCAGCCGTAGTCATGATAGATCTGGAAAGTAAGTGGAGCAGAAGACGGGATATAAACTTTCTGACTAGGTCGAAGCTTAAATCCTAATTTCCATGAATCATCGCAGTCTCCCACGGAGCACGCGGTTCCGTGATTCATAAAAATATAATTTGTCACGATAGTTTGACATTCGGCCACTGACCGTGGATCCCGCTCTGCGTTCTACGGTCGTGATGAAAGTAACCTTTAATAGGACTTAGACGGAAAGGAACCTTTGTTCCAGGTGCGCGATAGCACGCTAGTGTTAGACTGGCTGGAACAAAAACACCCCGTCAAACAAGACTGGGCTTGGATCGAGGATCAATCATATGGTTCTCAGCTCTACGGTATAGATAACCTTGTTGTCGACCCACCCAACGCATCTTGGGCTAGAATTCTCGCTGATAAGTGTTACTAAGAACATTGGAGTTTTCTAGGAGATCGCTAGCTACTGTATCATGACTTCATTGCTAGGCCACTCACATCTTGGTTCCATGAGAGAACTTATAAAACCAGCTACGGATCCCATCCATCAACTTTAACTAAAAATTCCTTGTACTCGTGTCAACCCCTGCCAGACCATGGATACAGTCATAACCAGCCTTCCCCCTAAAGTGGGAGCCATTCTTATGGAGAACGTCTCCATCATTCAGATTGTGTCCATGTTCTCGATCGGCGCGTACAATGCCCTAGAAACAGGGATCGTCACATTCGATACCTTCAAACACTACCGCAGTCTCAACTTCTGGAGCATGCAAGTCGCATCCTGGGGAATCCTTGTGCATGCCATTCCTGCTATGGCTCGTTTCATATCTCAGGCATCCAGCCTCCCAACGTCAATCCCTTTCGTGATCGGATGGTATGCCATGGTTACCGGCCAAGCCGTCGTACTATACTCGCGTCTGAATCTCGTCGTCTCCGATGTGAGAAAGGTACGGTGGGTCCTATGGATGATCATTACCAACGCTTGCATCCTACACATTCCAATGACTGTCCTGTTTTTCGGGCTCAATAACGGAGATACACATTTCGCTCGCCCTGCCGCAATCTTCGACCGCATCCAATCGACTGGCTTCTGCATACAAGATTTCACCATCTGCGGCATTTACATATACGAAGCAGTGCGTACATTCAAGTCTATCATTGAAGTCCGCGGTCGCGACGGCCGCAATGCCATCATTCATCTACTTTGTATCAATACCATTGTGGTCATCCTGAACGTTCTACTTCTGCTCGCGGAGTACAGACTGCACTACATTCAAGTGAGCTTCAAGACAGTGGTGTACAGCATCAAGCTGAAGTTGGAGGTCTCCGTGCTTAACCGCTTCCAGTCGCTGATGCTTGGTCGCCTCTCTCTACGTCAGTATGAACCCGAGGAGCAACGCCAATCAAGCAATGAGAATCTCGTGGACAAGAGTTTTGCACGGTCAGATGTTGCACCGGAGGTGACATTGCAACCTGTAGTTGCGCAAACAGAGATACCACATCTTTCCTAACATTGAGCCCGGGAAATACACCTTGGTCTGGACTCGGTTTAATCGTGTCGGCAATTGTGAGATGTACATGAATTGCGCACCCTTCACTGGCGAATGGGTCGCCGTCAAAGTCGCCCGGGAACACGCCCAAAGAGTTGCTTGCATTTTCTGCTGTGTTCATTGCCAACGTGGATGGTGGCACTACCAGAGAGCATGTTGGCATTCGCTTCTCTCGGCCGGAAGGCATTGTTGAATATACTGGCGACAACAAAAATCATCGGCGAGAGGGTGAACTCGTAAGCAGCGGGATTTATACATTTGGGCCAACTCTAGTCAGTGATCGGGACATTATAGGCGGGAGCGATACCACTGGTAACGGTACCGGACCACATCCTGGCTGCCGTGGTTGTCATGGTCCTTACTCTTGTAGATGGGTTTGATGAGCGATGGGCTTCTGCCACGATGAAGTATATATATTCTGGAGCGTTGCTTCTCGATGGAGCCGGGCTGAAAGAATTTTACAGACTATCACTAAACGACTTATTTGGACTATAATACATTCTAAGTACCGTGAAGCTTGTGTTGGAACAATGCCATTCAGATTCTTCAGCTCAAGCACCTCATACTATCTGCCATTTGCGAAGCCCCCACGAGCAGCCGTCCTAAGTCCAGTCTCGTATCCCATAATTTCCGTTGTTTCAAGGTTGTCCATGGCTTTTCGTCCCAACAAGGGAGTGAGTGCACTTGCGATATCACGGCAGCAGCTTGTCTAGCTGGTTCAGTTGTGTTAAAAAAGGAACAAAGCGGAACATAATCCACGTGCTACATCAAGTCTGATTGTAGTAGACGAAGTACGAGAGATAAGAAACAAAGATGATTCATCTGACTAGGAATAAAAAACAAAAACGACGTTCATTGAGTGAAAATTTGTGAAGCAATTCGAGAATTTAATGCCCGAACAGACCATCCCTGCTATACCGTGTGCTTCCTTTATCTATAGTCTCCTTCGTCAACCAGCCAACATGAAACACAGAATTGCGACCTTCTCGACATGTTATGCTTCTACGCAAAGAGGCAAACCGGATTCAGTGCATTGTAATTCAACAACGAGCATAGTAAGATTTAATACCGTGATAGGCAGTCTTGTTCGCTATACTGACCAACAATTTCAACTCCCCTTCGCATGACTTTCGGGTGAACATCTCATTCTGTCACATTAGCTGAGGGTATGATGAGTATCGGGATGAACCTACCTGCAACAGTTCCTCAATGGAGACGCTTTCCAGCTGCCGAGGTAAATTTTGGATCTCCGGTTCCCACTCGTAGGTACGATTCTTTAACATCAACTTGGTGACGATATCGCCTAGAGCGCATAATTTCATCGTCGCAGGGTTCATTTCCGATTCTTCAATTTGGCAGCTATTCTCGACACCCTCTGTGAAAGTTAGTCTTTCTTCATCGATATTCACCTTATCAGCGGATAGACTCACTAATCTTAACATCACCAGACTGTGTAAACAAGATCGTTTCCGGGCTCAGGGTAGCGAGTGCTCTTCCGAGCCGGCGCAGATATTGGATTCCTTCCAACACCTATTTCAGGTGAGTTTAGAATGCGCCTACAAGTGATCAGTGTTTGACATACCGGCTTGACAATGGCAACGATTTCATCGTCAATAATCGAGCAGCTAGAAGCTAAAATGTGATCGACTGACACTTCCGTTGGTTCCCAAATTAAAGTGCACGATGCTCCATGATGGTAACATTCGAGTAATGTTAAAAAGCTGGGATGAAAAATTTGTTCCATCAGTTCTAGCGTACTTGCAGCGAAAGAGAACTGTTGTTCAATTCGTTGGGTATGCACCAAGTGTCCTCTTTTCTTCCTGTGTCGGGCAAAGATCAGAGACTGATCTTTCGATCCGGCAACAGGCTCAAAAGTATCCCACGGGTTCTGATTCAGGCGTGATATTCTTGCCTCTGGACTGTTGGGCCGTAATTTTGTCGAACCGGGAGCGATTGCGGGGGCGCTCATTGTATGACTCGGTGAGGGTTTGATATCTGGAGAGGCAGTTGATTTTGAACTTAGCTCCTCGTGGCAGAAACTAGATTTGCCCACCCACACAGTAAGAGGTCGGCTGTGTTTGATCTGTTTCTCGTTCATCATGCAGTGTAGTCCTTGCGGAGCGTGAAAAGGCACAGTGACGATTTTCCAGCGGACAAAGACCTTATGTACAACGCTCCAAAACATTCTTTCGGCACATACCTGTCGCCCTAGCAACGATAGCCCTTCATGCGCGATGCGGTAGAATTAGATATTTTTGACTGTGATTATGATCTGCATCAAGTATAGCGGGACATGCCGAAACTTTGTTGATTCAGATTCCTTGGGTTTGTCCATCGTTTGGTTGTATCCTGAGAAAGATACCTGGTCGCTAGTGCGTGCCGGGGCAAATTCCGATATCCCCGATACGCTAAACCATCAACGGCCCACGTGCCGGGAGACTGACTGGAATTACCTTGGCCCCTAGTATATGATTATTCGAGACCAACATCACTTGCTACAATGGTAACATAGACCCTAGCGGTTTCCTAAGGATGTGGTCTTGCGCATTGGTGTACTGCATGAGACAGGTTAAATGAATTGAGCTCAGCAGGAATCCCAGTCAAAGATTGGTTGCTGGCGTCGCCTTTCTTGGTCATCAGCATTCCTTTAGTTGGCTTGCGTTATTGTAAACGATATATACTTCGAGACCCAGGACGACCCAGTTCATGAAGTTGGTTGGACGTGGACTGAGAATTGATCAAATAAGGGCCATTTACATGTCTATTGCCTAGGTTGGAAAATTTTTCCAAATATTCCAGAGCAAGTAATTTTTGATCGGGGCTTACGACTGAAAAGGCACTAACAAACCTGCTAGGCATACGTCTCTACAATCAGAAACGATTCTCATGCGGAGACTGGAGCTGGACTGGCTTTGCTCACCGATTCATTCATCCCTTTGAAACTGCGAGACCCTTTCGCCGTTTGTTAGTTCCATGATATGGAGCCGGATTCACTTGAAGTGGGTTTAGGTTGGTCTGCAACTCCGACGTCTTGCGTTCGTATTGGCGATCAGCAGATCGATCCGGATTGCACACTATGTGGTCGGGCCCACCCATGCTTGTGTCACGAGGGGACACCAGCTCAGATGGAAGGCCATGGATCACCAGCCGTTCTTTGAGAGAGATCATCGCATAATACCCTGTGGAATGATCCAAAGCGGCAAAGACATGCATCCCAGTCACCCTGTCCACGAACTTTAGGATCGGCACCCGAGCATGTGCAATGCATTCAATCGAATTCGGAACAGCGATATTGGTGCTTTTTAGGAAGCCCGAAATTGCGTGTATATGTCCTTTTCTTTCGCCCATGGAACGCGCCACTGTGCGTCTAAACGTGTCTGACAGTAGCACAAGGTCAATATCGGCAGTAGACAGATAGCTACCAGAGTCAAAAGAGCCAAAGCCATGGATTTCAATGCCGCCGTACCGATTCTGGAATGCAGTATCCAATAGTTCGACGAGATCTCAGCGGACAATGTTCTCAATTTCCTGTGGCTTGGCCCAGTCATAGAAGCTGACAATCTCGTGATCTAACCTAGTGCGGGTTAGAAAAGGAGCTACTCGATAGCGATTAAGAGGACAGAGAGAAATCTGACTGGATCCTTCGCGTAAGGAAGACGGAGTAGATTCAAATCAAGGCGTGCCCAGCTCTTGAGACAGTGGTCTCCACTCACTGGTAACGGAACCGTCGTAGTCGCTCTTGCTTGCAGCATTGCCGGTCTTTATACAATGGTGTCTGATTGCCCCCACTGGTTCGCTTTCAACTGGGATTGGCGGAATACATACTTTTCTGGCCTGCTGGCCTTTTAGGGGCAATATTGGCAGTGTTTTCGGGAGCGTTGCTCTGAGGTTGCGATTCTGATATCATGCCGAGGGAAACGAAATCCAAATTCACCCTGAGTTCATCTGTCTCGTCTACCTTCGCTGCATTGTCAAGTCTCGCTTTGCGAATCAGTCTGACAATGTCGAACCTGTTATCCATTTGTTTGCTTGGTGGGGGTAGCGCAGTGCATGGATCCGGGTTGGACCGTCCCTGAGCAGAGGGGCAGGGGGGTGGGCTTAGCGTAGTGTCTTGGGGTTCATCAAGACCCATTGCGCGCTTCTTGCGTGGCCCCTCAGTGTTGGGGGCATCATCGGACGTGTCCATGTTGGCCTCTTCCCTATCGCTCAAGCAGACGAGAAGGTGAACTCGAGTGGAAGAATATTTTAGTTTCATCCCGAAGTTTCTTCGGTGGTTTCTCCCTTTCTAGACAGGAGCGGACTGTATGCAGTGGGAGGTGGCCGGTAGCAGAATCCGAACCCATGTTTTGGATTCGGGCGCGAGCCACGGTAGTCTGAAATTTCTCTGAACTAAAATGGTGGCATTCTGAGGAGTTTGAAGGCAGCAAGAATAACGGGAGCGGAACAGAACGAAACGGCTCTTGGTGAGTGAACGAGAATTGGATGCGTAGAGTATTGCCAATGATGAAGGTTGGGGAGGGGAATTGACCAAATTGGAAGGGTGGAATGGAAGCAGAATGCTTCCCGGTGAGTGTAGAGGCTAGGGCTTGGGATTGATTTCAATCCACGCGCTAGTAGTGTTTGGCGTGATGCAAAGTTTTATCCAGCACAGCGAAGTTGCTGGAAATCACATCTTCACACGGACCTTGTTTCAGGTCCACGATGTATTTAATAGATGTTAGTACAGTGGAAGTAGGGGCAAAAGGGAAGAACTTATCAAGTAACTGCTTGACTTTGCAGAGTCAAGTAAATTAATCGTAGAGCAAATTGTCGAGGGAGGACGTATTTATAGGCTTCTCGGCTTCCGTCACTTGCAAGCTGGGTAGGAAATGTTGAGGGAAACCTATTCCTATTGAGGGCTATTGAAAGCCATGTTCTTTTCCCGCAACTATTTGCAGCAACACTTTTGATGCTTTTGGAGCTTCAGTGAGAAATTAGCAGGAGCCATGTTGAAGAGAAGGGATGCTGAGTCGGTCAAGAAACGTTGTCTGACTGTTGAATCCTTCACGGTCCTCTTAAATTGAGGCCTTGCGGGAGATATTCAATCCGCAATGACAAGCTCATTTTTTTTCCTGGTCAGCTCATCTGTGAGTGACTCAATGTTAGACCACCCGCCAGGTGCGCCTACACATTTCCATTTAAAAGGTCAAAATATTCTGCGAGTTACTGTCAATGAAAGTACTGCCAGCCATGCCACCCTACCCTTAACCTGTCACCGCCTGTGCAATAACCCTGATTTACCGATAGCGTAATTCAAGGAGGAGATTTTACCTAAATCTGCACATTGAAGGGTGTTTATAGGTACAAGCGAGCTACTCTTGTAGAAGTACTGTAAGAAAACGAAGAGATGAAAATATTGTCGGGCGCGTTGATAACCATATTTAGGGGAGATGTGCGTAAATTACATGATTCGTTGGAGCCCAGACACTGAAAGATGAATCCAACAAAGTAATCACAGCTTACCTGTAGTTCAAGGCCAAGTGCGAAAGTTGCCCTCCTCATCCAAGTGACCTTCGAGGTAGAGCGCAATTCTACAGTTGGAAGCTGCTTCAATGGCCCTTTTCACATCACTAGCGCATTTTGCACGAGTGTCCCTGTAGAGACGCTTGACAACCTGTTCGTGTCCATTCCGAGCTGCTTTGCATAACGCCGTGTCCCCGAATTTGTCAGTAGCGGTAACATCCAGCCCATTTTCCTCCAGCAAAAGATTTATAATAGCCAAATTACCATCGTAAGCGGCCAAGGAAAGTGCAGTGTCTCCCATATAAGTTTTGAGATTGATGTCGGGCGGTGTTGTGTGTTCAAGGAGTAACCTTATAACTTCCGGGTGGCCCATCTCGGAGGCAACACAGAGAGGTGTGCTGTTCCAAAATTGCTGATTGACGTCGATGGTATCAAATTGAAGTAATCGGCGTACAACTTCCACATGACCCTTTTTGGCGGCATGGAACAGTGGAGGGGCCTGTTGCACGTTCACTTGTATGTCTCCCCTTGCGAGGAAGAGTTCCACCATGCGTAAATTACCATTAAAAGCAGCGTAGGTCAGGGGGGCCATCCCTGGTCGTCGCGAACGTTGGGATCTAGATCCTCCTTGGCGAGAAGGACTCATGCGATCGGTATGTTTCCTGTGCTCGCCGCATGGTGAAGAGCTGTCCTGCCAGTTTTACCGGCCACGTTGACGTCTACATGGTCTTCTGCGAGGATCTGTAGGGCTATAGCTGTGTGTTTTGCATCTGCAGCTAAGCAGAGTGCTGTTGCCCCATTAACATCTCGGGCGTTGATATCCACAGCACCATAGGCTAAAAGAAGCCCTGTGATCGACTTATTGCCATACTCTGCTGCGATGTGGAATGCGGTGCGACTGTAACTGTCTCTTGCGTTGGAATCTATACCGCATTTGGCTAGCAGACACTTGGCTACCGACGTGCATCCATACTCTGCTGCGATGTGGAGAGCAGTGCAGGACTGTCTGTCCGTTGCATTGATGGAAACCTCTTCATAGGCGAGCAATTGTTGGACTACCTCCCTGTCGCCTTTTTTCGTTGCTTGATGCAACAATCTCTGACCATCTCTATTTCTAGAATTGGGATCTGCGCCATGGGCAAGGAGTAGGGCGATGACATCATGAAGGCTTGCCTGTACAGCCTGACGGAGCAGACGGTTTCTGATAGTGACATCCTCCAGTAGGGTCTTTCTTGAATTGGAATCTGAATGAAGGAGTAACAGCCGGGCAATTCTCGGGTTCTTCCGGGCAATGGCAAGGCTGAATGGTGAAAATTGTTTGTAATCTGGCGTTCGTATATCGCTGCCCCGTTCCAGAAGGACTTGCACCAGATTCTCATCGCAGGACGCGACAGCGTACCAAATAGCAGACCGGTTCTTGACGTCCGTTATATTCAGACATGGATTAAAATCCAGTAAAAGTGATGCAGTAGACAGAAGATTCCTTTCAATGGCATATACCAGTGGGCTCTGCCTGCGCTGATCTTGCCAATTGATATCCACTCTCTTGTCGACAAGAAGCGTGCGAATAATTGTCTCGTTCTTAGTGCGCATTGCATGAAAAATTGGTGTGCGAGATTTATCGTCCGTAGTGTTGGCGTCCGCTCCGTAGTCGTCCAACATCATTTTTACAAATTTCGATTTGCCTCGGCGAACTCCCCAAAATAAGGCAGAGCTGCGTTGGTGTCGGACGTTGAACGTGTACAGATAGTTGAGGAAAAGGTCATTCGCTGCATGATTGAGACAAGCCAGCGCAAACAAATCTCTGGCTTGATCCAGGCTCTCCGCTATGCAAAGAAGCATTTCAACGGGAAGATCGAGGAGAAACATCTATCCGTTACGTTAGTATTAACTCATACACCAAGTCGTGTAGTAAATAGTGGAGGCGGGCATACTCACATTGAAATGTTGGGTTGAGAGGAGCTGATTACGGCTTGGTTCGTGTGGAATTAGCCTGGTGGGTGACTTGGATAGAAAGCTGAGAGATGGAGGAGAACGCTCGACTGTCTTATAGGTATCAGAAGATATATCTTGTGGCAATCTGTCTAAGCTCGGAATGCAGGATGACTTGGTGTACGCTTTTACGGTAGGAATTTGATAGGTGGGAATCAAGAACGATTTAAGCTCCCGGGAGGCAGGATCTACCGTGTAAGTACTCTACTCACAATTCAAATGTGGTGAATCTCGGGTGGAAAAAAAGATTCTTAGTCGTCAATAGATGGCAATGCTCTAGACTTCCCGGCGTACGGCCTGGTCATTAATGCGAGGAGTTGCTACCTCCTGGAGCAGCCGATCGGGCTCCCGGGAGCAATGGTCTTGTATATCACGATGATCATACGGATACAGGGGTTTATAGGGTCGCGGATCAGCAATCAACACCAAGGACAACTATATCTGACGCTAGACAAGTCATGGCTCAAGGAAGCAATAGAGAGAAGCTTCCTCGCGTTTAGGGAGACACATATGTGGAACAAAACTGGGGGCGCACCGAGTCATAGCCACGGTTAGCAGCAATATGAGTGCAGGACTATGCAGGTGTCCCACCAACATCGTATGCACCCATGTGGGTCCCGCGCAGACCACATCTCTGTCTGTATGCTTCGTAGGGCTAGGGGTTCCTTGAGAGCTGCTTCTTGGCTCCCACAAACGTTTCAAAGGCTCCCAGGAGCAAGAGAACTCCCAGGGCCCAAAGATTAGTTCCTAGTACGGATGGAACCGTCTGCAGGAGCGTGAACAGTTCCTTGATAGTGATGATGAAGATGTGCATCTTTGTATCTGGATACTGCGATGAGTATCTATTTGCTATTCATACGGACAGCGACAGAAAATACGCGCATAAAACTGATATCATTAATCAGGCCTAATAAGTATGGTTTCCCGCTTACTTCTGGAGGCAGTCCCATTACTGCCTCTGTCTGGGCACGAATTGGAGGCGAGCGACCGAGATAAAAAGCACTTGCTGGTCCTATCCATAGCGAACACCGAGCACGTGAAAGCAAAAAGATCTTGACACGGAATGCTTTTTTAAGGGAAGAAATGGTATCTCTTAATAATTCATGTCAGCATAATAGTGAATCAATACAGCATGTGTGGCCTACAGGAAGCGTTATCGGGGCCGCGTCTCAAAACCGGCCAAGTCGTGTTTGCCTGCGGGAAATAGTTTTGCCGGGGCGGGATCAGCTGACATCAGCGAAGTGGAGACAGCCCATCGACGCCTGTCGCAGGATATCACTCTCTTCTTTACTATACATCAATGGCTGACCCCAGCTTCCCAGATTACAGAACTCTCTATCTGCAGGCGGAAGAGAGACGGTGTCAGGAAGCAGAAGGGAGGCGGCAGGCGGAAGAGCGCGAGAAGCAAGAAGCAGAAGGGAGACGGCAGGCAGAAGAGCGCCAGAAGCAAGAAGCAGAAGGGAGGCGGCAGGCAGAAGAGCACAATCGACCGACCACTTTCACGGAGCTCATTCAGCACTGCCATGTCCTTCTCTCCCGATCGCTGAGAATCGATTCACCATCCCGCTCAACAGCTGGGAAAATACCTCTTCCCACCGGAAAATACTGCCCGACTCGATTGGAACATTGGACCGACTGCCCAGAACAGCTCTTAGAGATCTACAGGTCCGTCTGTCAACATCTTCAGCCCGA